AACCTAATATAAACAGTGAACAAAGTTCATCCTAACATACAGGAACAGTTACTTACCAACTAAGATTTAATATTAAACATAACATCTGTTTTGAGAAAATTCTTGAAATGAGAATTGAAATTACTTATATGATAATTGCTTTCTGCTGACAGTCTAGAAGTTAAAGTTTAAGACATAGACACACACACACACACGAGTCAATCATACTAATGGTCTAGTTACAATGTAAGCAATAATATCTTAGCAGTTCAACAACAAAAAGTCATTCAAAGGGTTTCAAATTTCCAAGCAAAATTTATTTCTCAGACTTGATAAAAAAGCAATTGGTTGAAAATCATCACTGTGATTCAAATTTTTATTGTTTTTTATAACTTGTATATTTGTGTTACTAATCAAAATTGAGCATTCATCAATAAAAACCAATCTTTTCAACCTTACCTTAACCTTGAATATGCACCACTTTCAAGGGAGCTATGGCTTTGTGAAATAGAACTGGAATCACTAGAACGACCAGAGTCTTGGGATCGTGATGTTGTCTGACTGGAGTGATTCTGTGTACATTGTTCTTCTCTGGGGGCGCCAGCAGTGGGAAGTTGGTGAGACAAGGAGGAGTGATGTGGAGTTGATGTTGGCAAAACTGAATCATGCTTGTGAGAACGGTGGTGACGGTGATGATGGTGGTGGTGATGATGCTGTCAGACAATTCATTAAACATTAGTCAAAACAAAGCAGTAATTTTAATTTTAGATAATTGATGGTTGCCCTATATATATATTCCAAAAAATAATTTATTTATCAACATTTTGAGTATAATATCTATTTATTAATATTTATTTATTCAACTTTCAAATTGTTGGACTTAATCAATTCTTTTGTCTTGAACTGATTATCAGTTTATTGCATATTTCCCAGTTTTCAGGATTTAATGTCAAGATATCTTGGTATATTTTAAAAATACATTAAACATATACAGAAAGACTTAATGATTGTTTGTATTTATATACCTTGCAATAAATATTAACATAAAAGGTACAAAGATGTTAATGAAATGGTAAGTAAATATACAGTTATACTTAGTCATAATCTGTTTCAATATGTAGGAACAAACCACAATAAAACTGGTTGATGCTGTACATAAATATTTCCAAAGACTAAGGCACAAAGCTTCAAATCTATAAAGGTTCATTTCTAATCTATCTTTCCACAAGAAAGGTGACATCTTTCATCCACAATGAATGTGAATATATATTAGAACCATACAAAGTTATATCTTGCCTAAATATTAGTTCTGAGAATACATTAAGAGTGGTACATTTTGTTAATGCTAGGTCTGATAATAAATTAGAAATAGATTAAGTTCTACTTATTTTTTCAAAGCTAGATCTGAATTGTATTAACTTTTATACAGGTTTGGATACATGTAGAAAACTTCAGACATGATGTAACTCACCTTCCTACGAGGTTGAGGTGAAGCAGAAGGACTGGTCTGAGTTGCAGCACAGACCATAGGAAATTTATTTGAGGATTCTTCTTTACTCTGAAAAAGTACAAAATATGATTATTTGTTCCATTATGTTAAAACTGATATGAATCAAAATAACATTAATTAATTAACACAACTGTAAATAATTTCACCTGTAGTTAATAAACTTACTAATGACTTGTTTATTATAGTGAAGTCACAATACCTAAGCAATAAATATAAATTAAAAGAAAAACTTACTATTTATTCATTTCTGATAAATAATATGACTTTTTGGCTGATTAATTTCGTGCTATGAAATCCTAACACCAAGAACAATTTTCAAATTTTTGATATTGGAACATTTGGAAATAGAAGTAATGTTTGACAGTTTTGTGTAACAAAGTTAGTAGTACATTACTCTTAAATATCAAATTTAAATACAACTATACTAAACCTAAATACAGTATAACTGATCAACTATCAAGCAACTTTTTAAATTGTAATTAATGTGCTTGTTGAAAAAAACCTTGAAAGTTTTCAAAGTTCATTGTTTCTGTGATAATTCTCATACCTATAAACTAACTTAAGAAATAATATTTCAATGAGAAACTTAAATAACATACAGAAGACCATGTTTCTTAATAAAAACTTAATAATTATTTGTTAGTGAACAAGAGTAATGACTGGATGTGTACTCATAACTTCTAACATAATTTGTGCATTTGTTTGAAGTTAAGCCCACCACAGGTATCAAACTCCAGTTTCTTGTGTTGTAAGTCCACAGACATACTGCTGTGCCACTGGGTGGCTGTAACATATAGACATCTCTAAAAATAACTACTTGTTATCACACCTAGTCTTATTAACTTATTAAAGATTATTAGATTAAATTAAATAATACACAATAAACAGTTTTCTGAAGTCTTTTTAGTTAACAAAAGTTACAACTGTTTTAGAGAAATTAAGGCTAACTGTCAATAGTTCACACCAACTGTCTATCACCAAAAAGCATTTACATAACTTAATTCCTTAAAACACACACATTCTTTTCAAGTTTGATTATTTGATGGAATGATGAGATGTTTATCCTACAGAATTATGAAATTACACACAGTTATCTCACAATTAATGTATTCATTTTTTTGTCCAATCTTTAATTCTACTTTTTCCAGAGAGGCACATATTGCAATGAATTCAAGTAGGAAATAATTTTAAAACCTAAGCTTTCAACAAAATATTACAAAAAAAATTCAAATAATTTGTTTAAAAATGTCTTTTTTAATTGAAATCAGTGAAGCCTTTCATTAGCATATCCTTTTAATCAAGTAACCTTGCAACCAATATCATCAACCTTCCTTAAATTTTCTTAATCTTTATTATTAGTTTGTGAGACTTTTCCTTTATATACCTATGTCTATGTATTTCAAGTTATTTGAAGCATGTATTTATCTGTTTTTAACTAAAGAAAAATGTACTTCAGTATCCCTGACCAGTATGTTTATGTGTGAGTATGTGTTAAGCTAATAATTACATTTAAATTAATGTTATATATGGTCCGGCATGGCCAGGTGGTTAGGGTGCTTGACTTGCAATCTGCGGGTCGCAGGTTCGAATCCCTGTCCCACCAAACATGCTCACCCTTTCAGCAGTCTTGTAGTCATTTTAGGATAGAGCTGTGTATGTTCTCTTCACCATTCCTGACCTCAACCATGCCCAGTTCCCCGGACTGCCACAAAAATAGAGATCTCTTGATAGTATAGGATCAAACATCACATGACTCAACTTCACTCTTCTCATCGGTATCAGACACATTACATTGTGCTTTCCACCTATACTGTCTCCGCCTCAGCTGTGCCTGTGTTAAGATTTTGTGTTAACAGTCAATAGTACAAACCACTTTTGTCATCTGTTGACTCTTGTTCAAATTTGTCTTCATATGCATCGTCTTCTCCTTCACCATCATTGAATTCTTCCTCTATTTCTTCTCCCTGTGGTGCTCCAGAATTCAAGATGCATTGATTAGTTCCCAGACTGACGTCTACATGAATCTCAGACCTAACGCTAGAGTAAGCATAGGTATAGACTGATAAATCCGGTATATAAGAAAGCATTAATCTTCGATCAGTGGAAACATATCACTGGTTTGCTATATAAACTTACTAGCTGACCTTCAACCATAGCTACACCTTCAGTCAACTGCTACAGCTGCTCATGGTCATGTAAAATATGTTCAGCAACACAGTTGGACATTCCTTCATGAAACATCAACACAATAATAGCTAGTGCAGGTGTGATGCAATTATTCCTTTCAATCAGCCAGAAATATTCATATATTTCAGGATTATTTAAAATTACGTGACTTATCACTTCCCTTTTAGCATTTCAATTAACTTCAGTGCATACTCAAACATAAAGTACTCTAATCTTTTTACTTTTAATTTTTTACTTTGACATACACGTATCATCACACAAAGAAGCAAAAGTTTGGGCCTGGTTCCGTTCTTTTTATTTGTCTGACACCATAATGGAAAAAGGAAAAATATACAGCCTTAATTTACTACCTTCATATTTTTACAGAGTTTCTAATTATATCTGCTTTGTTATCAATAGTGATGCCCATCATAATCTAAAAGAAGTTATGACAGACTGTTTATGTTGCTCTATAATGATCTGGAATTCAAAAACTGAACTTAAAAGTTCTTTGCTGCTATTTACCCCTGTATGTGCTACTATGCACAAAACTATATGGTATATAAGATATTAACTTAAATTGTTCAACCTGAATGACATCTTATGTGTACCTGAGTTAAGAAGCCATGTCAGAGACCCCTATATTTCAGGTATCATTGTCAATCCTAATTTTAAACTACTGAATAGAGAGAATGCATAAAACTAGCAGCAGCTACTTTAAATTCTTTAAACCAAATGATAGTATTGACTGTCAGTTTTATAATACATCCACATAAGGAAGTGACTAGCATGCTCAGTGACATCATGTCCCAAACCCTAAATCTTTCAACTTGCATCTCAATGTGATAACCATTAGGTCACACCTGACCCTAATATTAAATATGTCTCAACATATTGCTGCTAAATATGATGAATTGACCAAATTCAATGCACTTATTTATCAAGTACACCTGATGTATCTAAAAAAAAAGGGGGGTTTAATCAACCTGAAAATTTTCATAAGCATTTGCTATTTTAAATCATTTCTGTATCTTGCTTACTAGGAGATCTTATTTATATTTCATTATTATCTAACAGGTAGAATCAGCCAATTAAGAATTTAATCATTACTTTTTTTTATTTCAGTACATAAGAGTCCAAACAAACTGAAAACCTTCTGTGGGCACAGGATTTATAAAAATGGATGACATTTCACAAAATTATTAAAACAGTTTTTTTCATACATTTTTTTTTATAAAAGACAGACAACAAAATAAAAAGGTATATTTGAAACAGCTTATAGCCCTAAATAGAAAAATTCATATTATTACAAGGACAGTATTATCTATTTAACAAAAAAGAAAAAAAAAACATACACCAACTCATATGCTTTTAAAGGCAAGATCAAACTGAAATTACAGTCAGCACTGGAAAACATAATAAACCACCACAATACAATCATGTCACATTCTTCAGCATAATTACCAAGTCAAGATTAGATTAACATGTATTAGAGCTGTAAGCTGTGATACTATATTAATTTTTGTTAATGATATGGCATAAAAAAGTAAACTGTAGATTGTAATATCACTGCAGCCTAAATAAATCTTAGTAATTGTTACAAAATTATTTCCAGATAGTGATATGCATAATGTACTGGCGACCCTGAGTCTTGTCTACAAGTCTTGTGTTTGGTAGTTGCCAAACCCGACATATATACATTTGAAGAGAGGTTCATTACAACATGCATTAAAAATACTTTATCAACACTTTTTACAACAGCAATTCACATAATTTAATCTTTCACTGTATTGTAAGAAAGTCTTCAAAAGTTGTTCACCAATGAAAGATATGATGCATTTTGTTATAGTGATAATCACAGCATCATATAAAACAATAATGGGACATTTCCATGCCATGCCTTATATAACTAATCAGGAGTCCAGATACTTAATTCACACCAGTGTTCTTTATGAAAAACTACCAAGGTTCAAGTTCTAGCAAACTTTATATTTAAGCTGATCATTACAGTATCACACCACTTGAGCCAACCACACACAACCTAGCAGTCTCAAGCCAACAACGCAATCAACATTGGAGGACATGACCAGCCACTAAAATACATACATGTTACATTATTCAGCACAACCATTGAGCCAAACACACACATACACAGCACAAACCAGCAATGTCAAGCCAACAACACAATCAACAATGCCAGACATAATTATGCACAACGATAAATTCTTTTCACATTCTTTAGCATAACCACTGAGTCAAGAACACACCCTGATAATATAAATTAAGATCTACTCAGCTCAGGTGGCTCCCCTCAGAAAAAGAAGATCATTAGGTACCAACATACTAAGAATCTAAGAAATCTATCCTAGCTGGAATTTGAATTTGAGGCCCTTAGCTCTCACCAGTGCTATAATATTACTATCTAAGCTACTAGTTTCAAAAGAAACAATTCCCCATCTAAACCAGGTACATCTTTTTCTGTACTGATTTTACATTACCCTAAAATATATGTATTGCCACAAAGGGAATCAAATTTGGGTACAATATGACCAGATTCCCCCCTTTTTCTCTTTACAGAAAACAACAACAAGCTGTTAAAACTGCTATTACATGTTCCAAAACCAAAAGGCATTTCCTCGAGTGACCACAGAGACAAATGCCACATTAAAGATTGTGTATTAATTCTTTCGCAATTGACTTATACATATAGCATTAAAAGAAGAAAATCATTACACAAAACATTTCATGAGATACACATCACTGGTGCACTTTCCTGGTAGCATATTCAAATATTTACATATGAGAAATCACAAGACTTACCACTCCCTTTGGACAATGATACATTGTCTAAATTACTGGTCTTTCATTATTTTTCAGCACAGGCTCCTTAATTGTAATAACCAAAACACCACAAGTTAGTTGGGGATATTGGTGACATGGGTGAACAGCTTTACATAACAGCCACAAAAATTGTAAATTGGGAAGGGAATACAACTTCATCAACAACTAGATTATTATATATTTAGTCACTGATTCTAAGCAAAATCATTGTACTAAACTTTTCTCTAACAACTTTAAATTATAGTGTTACTGCAGGCCATAAATCATGGTTTCAAGTGTAGATTGTGACACACAGTTTATTGCACACCATGAGTCTAAATCACTAACTATAAGTATTTTATGTATTTTGTGAATTTTTGACAGTGCTATCTTATCAAACAAACGAGGAAATGATTAGGGATTTTTCTCATAGGATATATATCATAACTTAAAAGTTTACTTAAAATCAGTCTAAATAAAAAAAAATAGTTTTTTCCTAATACTTTTGTTAAAAATAATTTTTTATGAAATATTCAATGAAAAAAAAAGTTCTCAAATAAAATATACTTACATTAACATGAAACTTCAATCACAAATATTTATGATACATGGAAAGATCAAAAAGAAGTAAAAAATACTTGTAACTCAAACACTTTGAATATGGAACTAAGTTAATTCATTATCTTTGACAAAGAAAGAGCTATTTTCTGAACACATATGGATAAAAGAACTTATTAAAAGTCATTTGTATAAGTAATTTTAGTAAAGGCAGAATGTATTCAAATTCTTATATGAAATTTCAAATGTCCTACAAGTTATCTGTATACCATTCCCAAATCAAATTTAGATAAAGCTACTTTCCCAAGTTGAACTTCAATCAGGCTCCAACTTGTAAAGAACTTTCTTTATTTCTATCATAAGTTACCAAATTAACAAAACATGTATAAATGAAAACAGGTCATTTGAATATACTTATAATTCACACCATACCTTATTATACCTATACAAATGAAAAACATCAGCAGAATTATAACATTGCCATTCATGTTATGCTGACAAAAAGTAAGTTAAATTTAAAATGCAATAAAAACCACACTATAAATAATATCTTTGGAGAATAATACATCATTAAAATAATAAAATATTATGATAAATAATAAAAATATTCAGTCATTGCTTTTGAAAATACTTAAGTTCCATTTAAGATACTAACAATCATGAAACACACATGAAAAGCATACAAATAAAATCCAGTCAGAAAACAAACAGTTATATGTTCTTTTTAGAGTTGGAGTATTAAAAATTAGGCTATCCATTCCACCAAATACATACTTATCACTATCTACAGATTAAAATAGAATAATCAAACACTGATATTTACTCTGTATCTCTTTAAATTACATTTCTATTAATCCTCTAATTTATGTTATGTTTATTTACACAAAACTTCAAATTGGCTCAAAAAGGATTTATGTCTAAACTTTTAAAATAACTTGGTAGGTTCACAAAAGTTTCCTATTGTTACATTAAATATAGAAACATAAACAATTCTGTTTTTCTTCATACCAGAGAATCTGGCCATCTAATCAATTGGAAATGAACAAAAATTTATACAAAATGGATACCTATATATATAAAAAAGAACTATCAAAATTTGATTAATCAAAAGCCTAAATATTTTCAACACCTTTCAAGGTCACTTTAAGCTAAACAGCTTCCTGACCTCTGTGTACTTAAGGGAATTTGAAGTTCTGGAATCATGTAGGCATTGTTGACCAGTTTTCCTGTCAGACGAAGGTGCAAGACTGAAGAGGATGCATGAATGTGTCAAACTAGTTTAGCTAATATCAAGACTTCTGAAAGTTTGTTCCATTTACTGTGGTTTTTCACTAACCATATTATCATTGGAATCATATGATCATGCTACATGCATTATTATGCCAATTTGTGGAAGTTGTTGCAATCATGATGATACAACAGATAGTAGGTTATTACAGTAGCATACTATTTGCAAGTACTGTAGGATGTAATAAATAAAGCTAGTATTACAAAAATTGTTTAATTTCAAAGTCTAAGTTCAAGGGAGGTCCAGTTCTACTTACGCTTTGATCAACGTGTATTATTGGGTTATACTAGTTTCGGAGAATTCCATTCCTCATCCGTAACCCTGAACACAAGTTAACCAATGAGAGATAAGCCGGACATGTATCATAGTATGTTTTTCTGTAGAATGTATTCAAATATTCCCAAGTTAAATGTCCCCTTTCTCCCATCAACTCGAAGATTATGCTCAAAAGAGTAAATAATTAAGTCATATTTTACAATGTTCATTTAAAAGCACTCAAAATCTTATAATCTTTAACATCAAGCAAAACAGAAATAAATGTAAGAACTTACAGGTCTTTTTGAACTTGTTTGTGTGGCTACAGTTTCTTTTTTGAACAATATTGTTTCACAATCATCCTGGACTTCTGTGTTGTGTTTCAGTGTCTGTAAATTGCAATCCAACACATTACAGATGACATATGAAATACATCAATAAAACATTTATTCAACTATCATATTTTTAAACCAGAACAACAGAAAACATTCTGACACATTCTATTACAAACAATTCTATTTGATAAACTCTGAAAGAATACTAGAATCCTGGTTTTGTAGAAATGTCAGGAATTTGATGCCAAAGTTATCACTGGATGGTATAGAGCCTCACTGAAAGCTTGAATGCCAGTATTACAAAAAGCATTATATAAGTCCATGTCATCAAATGTTTTTAAGCAAATTTCAGAACCAAAATTTTATCCATTAACCATCAGTTAAAAAATAATTTTGTTTGAAGATTAAGGATAATAAAAAATAAGTTCTTGGAAAAATATTAAATACAGAAAGAAAAATAAATTTGAACAAATAAAGAAATTATGGTTTACTTGCATTAAAGCTGCCACAAACTAAAATGATGTTTAAAACATATATATATATATATATATGTGTGTGTGTGTGTGTGTGTGTGTGCATTTAAAGCTTTTGTAATTTTTATTACATTATATATTTTCCAAAAAACTGGTAGTAAAGATGCTGAGCTCCTACATACAACAGTAAAGTAATAATATTATTGCATTAACTTAAACACATTTGTTACTGTGCATGTGCACAGCTTAAGATTTAAGAGATATATATAATTGTGAATTTAGTTCTAGTCTGAAGCATTCTGAAGTATGCATTCTTAAATATTCACTTGAGAATTTTCAAAACCTCGCATAGCTCCTTAGAAATATACCTGGTTAATCTTTATAAAAACAAAATGAGCTATGAAAAAGGTTGGCCAAGTATAATGGTAAAAACTTGTTGTCCCAGGTATCAGGCAATATGAATTTCATATCTTTACTATTCATACACCATATAAAGTTCAGCATATGTTTTTAAGAACATTATGGCCATTGTGTAAATCAGTATACAATTCTAAGTGAAAACTTGCAAAAAACAAAAAAGTTGATATGATGCTCAAAGTTAGTAAGTTTAAGATCTCACATAATGGCAGCAACAATCTCATATATTCCATCATCTGTCAGAAAATTAATCTTTTTTTTAACATGTGTCTTAATAAATTGGTCTCTTGAGATACAAATCAAAGTATGAGACCTACCAGAAGTGAGTTTGTGACACTATAATTAAAATTTTCCCCATTAAAGGAATACAAATGCTATAAAAAATAGTACAGGATCTCTTAAGAAGAAACAAAAAGAGAGACATAAAAAATGTAATATACCACTATTATGGGTGGTAAATGAGTGGGTAGCCAGAAAAGACTGTTGATTAAAAATGAACACTGATATATGTTTCACTGTTAGCAAATCTACCAGTTATTATCCCCTCCACAAAAAAAAAAAACACACACACACACACACATATATATATATTTATATATTAAAAAGTTGTCATAGTTTGTTCTTTGTGCTTTGCACACATAGCTTGTTTTACTAACATGTTTAATTACTAGATAGTTATACATCTTGTTCTTCTTTGGTAAGTTTCTTCTTACAAGAAATTCAACCTCTACCAGCATGATTAATGTTCTCATTGTTGTACTTTAATAATTTGCTTTTGTTTTTAAATTGCTGAAATAATTATTTACATACAGACTTAATACTTTTTTTTTACATAATATAACTATTGTACTGGGGAGCAATAACCTTAATAGCTAGCTTTTGTCAATGAAGGCCTTCATACCTCATTTAGCATTTACTGTAGTTGTTCTTTTTTTACTCTGTTTTATAATAAATAACTAATTGCATTTTTTTAATTTACTCATATTGTTTCAGACTTTCATACGGACATCTGTGTACATGAAAACAAAGTCACTTTTTCTCAATAAATGAACTATAACTTACTTTGAGTAAATTTTTCTGACAATCAAAATATTAACTTGTACTATGAGACATGAAACAGAAAAATCACATTTCTGAACTTCCTCTAATTAATAAGAACGTAATTTTAATTCTATGGCAGCAAACCTGCTTTATCATAGCTCAAGTTTCTAAAAATTTCAATTTTCAATTTATGCTCATAAAATTAATAATATTTTACACTCTATATATATGAGCCCAGTATAAACACTGCAAAATCTATTGTTACTGTTTAACAAAGAAGCATAGGAATTAAATGTTATCCTACTGAATGTAAAGTTAAAACTTAGGGTTTCATTTACACAGCCTATACATAACTTTTTTAACATATATTAATAATAATATTTAAGGTAATTAAAATAAGTGGTTCAAATCTTATGTAAAATTACATATAAATACTTTTAGTACTAACAGAGTTTCTTCATACACATTGCTTAATCTTTTTTTCATATTTTATGAAAAAATAAATATAAATACACATGATACACAGCCGAAGAAAAATTTAAGTCCAAATTTTAAATTAATCCATCAAAGAAGAAGCAATTGTGCAGTGTAGAATGATAAAAAAAGAAATATGTGTACCAAAAATTCTACAAAGAGCTAATAGTTTATTACTGTTTTAAGGTTAGCTACACACTTTCAATAAAAACAAGCTTAAGTTGGAAAAATGCAGAAAACAAACCTGAAGTTTTGCCAGTGGGATAATATCACAGTTCTGGGGTGCTTGCCACACTGTCTTCTGAGTGCTTGGATTATAGTAATAGTAACGAGAAGTATTTTGGTCAAACAGCTCCCACCACTGATTCTCATCTGTCTTTTTCCTGCATAAAACAAATTCCCCTTCACTGTTAATCATAATACATATGATTTACCCTCCAAATTCTCCACCAATTTGTTTATATGTTATTGGATTCCATTTTATCATTAGATGGGTTCCTTTGGATTATTTGGTAAAAATAATGTGAGATCCAGTCCACATTTATTTCTTGAGGAACATTTGTTACAGCAATGTTCACTTGTAAGTTGTAGGCCTAATTTCATAAACAAACATTTCAACATAAAACTCTATAACTAAATGCAGGACTCACTTCACATATAATATTTCAATACAAACTGCAAAACATATGCCTAACTCAGCTTTCATTGATTAACAAACACTTAACTCACTATGTTACTCAGTGACAAAACAGGTGTGACAGTTCTCACTAAATAACTTTTCTGGCACTAAACTAAATAATTGGCTCTGATTATTCAATACTCACTTACACACATTAAATAGCCCTGTAATCAACAAGGTCTTAGACCCACAAGTAATTTGGTGCACATGGACCCACTCTGTAACTTCAGAGTTAAACTATTTCAAAACTATTAATCCACTGTGTCATCTTTGTGAATTATTACAAGAAGAGCTTGGTTAGTAAACAATACATGAGAAAATGAATTACAGTAACCATTTAAAATTATTTATATGGACATTCATTATATATATTTTTAGAAATGTTGATAAATCTCTTGGTAAACATTTTAACTTGGTTGTCCTCATAACTATTGATATTCGATAAAATAACTCTTCACTATCAGCATACCTCTTCTTACTGGAAAAACTAAACAGACTTGTAAAGAATGACATAACATTAAGATTATCATCAATCCTGCTATAAATACCTTAGGGATCATGCTTTGTCTTAACATGATTAATTTGTATTTTAATCTCATCATAACATAAAATACTGTCAACAATGTACCATTTGGTCCTTCAAACCCACATGAGAAAATGTAAAACTTTAAACTCACCCTTTATGTCTGGAAATTATTGGTTCCTCATTAAAGTTATAAATTGTTAGCTCCAGTTACTGCAAATGACAATTCACTCCATAAATCAATCTTATCTGGAGAATAGCCAGTCTTTTCCTTATCTTAAACTTGTGCCCTCTGAGACTATTATTTTCAGAATATAGCACATAAAAAATAAAGAGGCCTTTCTTTTATCAATCAACCAGATAATATTATAATAAGATATCTCTTACCCTTATGTTCTCAAGTAAAATAAGTTTAAAGATCTTAATGTATTCCTATATAATAACCTTCTATACACATAACCATCCTTACAGCCATTCTCTAAAACAGTGATTGAGTCAAGCGAGCGGTAGTGATGATAATATAAAGTGTGTGTTTTGTTATCGAGATTGCAAACGTACTGACTGTGGAAATTCTGTGTATTATAAAGTTGTATCAAAAAAGAATAAACTAATTTTATTTAAGAAAGGACTTGTATCGCTGAAGTTTCTCGGAAAAAATTTCTACACGCAATTACCAAACAAGCAGATACGTAACAAATTGGTGTCAGAAGTGGGATGGAAATAAAAAAAAAAATGGAAACAAGAAGTGGCAAATCAAACTACAGCTTAGCAGATTTGATGGCAGCAATACAAGAACAGCAAAAGAAACAAGAAGAGAGATTACAGCAGTGGCAAGAAAACCTGCAACAGTGGCACCTAGAACAGTAAAATAAACAAGGAGAGAGATTACAGCACTTGTTGGAGGAAAAAGAAAAGAAACAAGAAGAATGAGAAAATAAACAAGAAGAGAGACTACAGCAGTGATTGGAGGAGAAAGAAAAGAAACAAGCAGAAAAGCTACAGCAGTGGTTGGAAGAGAAAGAAAATAAACAAGAAGAAAGTCTCCAACAGTTGAGAAAAAGCCAGAATACACAAATGGAAAAGCTTAGTAAATTTCAAACTGAATTAAAT